TAAATAATGTTCTAAAGTAGTTTAGAACATCAACAAAGGACAGTTTGGTTGTAATTTTTTTAAATAACAAAAATATTTTCTACTAAGTTATCATCTGTCTACTCTGCCTGTGCTAGAGTTTTAGGCTGTGTCCATCTGCAAGGTTATTTTAAAAAAAGGTGAAAATATATTTAGAAACAGTGCTTTGGACACTGTCACATAGATGATTTGGGGATAAAACATTCTGTTGAAAGCAGGCATAAGTTTCTTCTTAAAGTCTATTTGGAAAATCTTTATAGCAATACTTTGACAGTGTTTTTGATACACTAAAATTACCTTCATGCCTGTAAGGATTCATTAATTTTGCAGTAAAAATATTCCTTTCTAACCCGTGATCTCTGACTAAGTTCATTACCTGAAGAAAAATCATTCAGTGAAATAAATACAACCCTAACTTGCCTTGAGAGAGAAAACTCTTGCTAAGTAACAGCCTCCCTGTGAACGGTGGAGCTTCCTTCTTCAGCTGTCACAGACACATACAGCTCTGGAACTCCTTCATGAGCGCACTTCTGATTTCTCAGAGCAGCGCAGAAAACTGGGAGAAAGTGGTAACTTTTTTAGGATGGCCATGATGAAAACCAAACATTAGAAAAAAATAATCGAGCCTCTTTTTCTGTACATGCTAGACAGTAGAGAGTAGTGCCATCCTTATAGGAAGGGTGATCCATCAAAAACAAAACCCAGCACAACTGCTCTGTTCTTCCAGTTCTTCCTCCTTCAGACTCCAATTACGTGAGGGGCAGTATATGTATCTCCATGCCTCTTATATGCCGTGCGTGTATATACTCACCTATATATGTGTATATGTTCACCTATACTGAGAGAATGTAATGGGGTTGTGATGGGTGGGGATATTATAAAACCGTGTATGCTGAAAGACTGGAGTAAAGTCTTGCAGTTAAACGTGGGAAATGTGTTTTAGACACTGATACTCAAACTTTTTTAATTAGTGCCTCTTTTTTTTTTTTTTTTGTTTTTTTTTTGTTTTTTTTTTGTTTTACCGTCTCTGAAAGTAGCCTGTAGTTGAAAATCAAGCTTGACCAAAGGGTAAAAGTTCACAATTTCCACACAGAAGGTTACTTCTGAATTGTAGGCTTACGCAAATATTTGTGTCCTCTAACAGTCCTCTATCCATCTGCTGAAAATCTAAATGATAATAAACTCTGTGTCCTTTTGGTATAGTAAGCCAGGGGCCTACTTTTTAGTAGCAAGAAAGTGGCTGGTAGCCTGCTTGCTTTTCTTTATTCTAATTTTTATTTCTGTTTTTTTAATCTGGAATCTCACAAAGAAATTTGAACAAATTTTTACAGTGTTATTTTGTGGTTTGCCTTCTAAAGAGCCTGTTGTGTCACAGCAGATAGGAGAGACTTTGGTTAAAAGTCATTGTCTTGACAAGTGAGGCTTGGTAGCTGTTCAGAAGACTCGCTATGATGTGCATAATTAAAGCGCATTAAGTTCCAGTTGGTGATTTGGATGTCAAGTGTTATAATTTGTGGACTTCTCTGAATGATATTTAGGCAGCTCTTGGACACTCTGAGAGGGTACAGTGTTCCTACATAGGCAGCTGGAATAGCTCATTGCAGTGATTGTTTAAAAATTTGCACCTGTTTCTAGTTTCAGATTCTAATTATTAGAGCTATTTATGGTTCTTCTTGGCAAAAACAGTCTAATCACAGGTTATTTTAATAACATTGCTTGTTTTAAAGTAGCTACTGCTGTAGTTTCACAGTACTTGAACCTCTCTTGAGACTTTTGAGTAAGCTTTTAGGATGACTACAAGAAAGTAGCTTTCTGTTAGATGAGATTTACTCAAAATACTTTAAATTTCAAGAGTTTGCTTATGTTGCTTGGAAGCGGGGGTGGGATACGGAAACAGTTTGACAGGTTTTGATATACGTGTTTATGCTGGGATTCTATCCAATCTTATATTTTTAAATTGATCTTTCTGAGATATCTAATTATGAGTATTTTAATATAGTGCTCTCTGCATGTATTAAATTGTTGCTTACTCTTTCCTCTGCTGGCCAGGGAGCTTGTAGGTGACTTGAGCAGGGTCAGCTGCTTACACATAATCAGTCTTCTCATTCTCTAAACTTTATTGTGTATTTTCACTTAATTCTTGTTGCTTAAGAAGTCAGAAGAAACATGGTATTGTTATCACAGAATCACTCAATTGGAAGAGACCTCCAAGATCATCAAGTCCAACCCAGCCCTAACACCTCAACTGAACCATGGCACCGAGTGCCACATCTAGTCTTTTTTTAAACACATCCAGGGATGGTGACTCCACCACCATCATTATTTAGGGGTGTGATTTTTCTTCTATCAGGGTCTTATATTTGAATATATTTTGTAAAATATGTCTTCAGCTGGCATGTAGAATATGACGTATCGTGTAGCTCATGCTGTCCATCATTGGTAATTGCACAGAGAATATGTGTCTGCAAAAGAAGCTCTTGTACTATCTCCTGTAAACTCCCTCAAATACCTGTTGACCTTTATCTTCATCTTACTGTTTTCTTATGTTTATCTCAAAATGTCACTTCCTGGAAGAAAGCTTTGAGCTGATCGTACAGTTAGCATTGGGATTTTTCATCTCTATTGAGTCTGTGTATTTTCTTCTGAGTGACTGAAGGAAAGGAGACTGTGCCATTCAAACTTTCTTAATGACTCTAATTGGATTATAGTGCTCTAGAAATCAACAGCTTTTGTATGTTTATACAGTGATTCTTGAAGTGTAAACAGATGTGAGTTCAAAACTTATTTTCCAATTTATGCCTGTTTCGTGCAGTTTGAATCTAGAAACAGATGAAGTTGGTTGTTGCATGCAGCACCTGTAACGGAAAACTTTAAAAAAGGTAAAAGCAAAATCTTCCTGGCACTTGATACTGATGGTACAAAACTGTGAAGGTGCACAAAGAACATCAGCAGTGACTCATTTCAGTGAATCACACTCACTGTAGCTACTCAAACTTCATAATTCTTTTTCACACAGGGGGATTGTATTTGGGGACTTGCAAGTTAACCATGTGTTTTACCAAACTTATTTCTATTTGTCAATAAAGCAATTAGGTTGATGTAAATATACCATGACCAGCTTTTTATTAAGGTCTGAGATACGTTGTTACCTTTTCACTCATAAAAATGCAGTTATTTCAAGGATGGTTGGTCCTCTGCAAAAAGAATTTCAATGTCTATCTGCAAAATATTAGTGAATTTAGTGAGAATGTAGACTGTCACTTGCCTCCAGATACTGAGTTTTGAATATGAGAAATGTACCTGCAAAATACATTATTCCCACACTGAAGTATTTTAATTCTTAACCGTTCAGTAACACTTCAGATTTCTCATTCTCTGTCAAGCACCCCTTTGGCTCCTTGACATCATGCTGTCTCTTGGGGAGAACATGACTGTGGGAATGATGTCTTGTTCTGGCGACCTCATTCTCATTCTCTCTAGTTTCATCTTATGCAGAGCCCTCTGCTAGCCTTGCAAAAAAATCTTACAAGTGGTAGAAATTTTTGTCTGCTTTTGCTATTGATATTTGAGCATGATATTGCTGCCACGATGGCGTGTGAGTAGCTTTTGCAGGAATACAAGGAAGTTATTTCTGATATAAGTGGGTCATAGTAGAAATAAAATTTACCCTAAATGGTATTACTTATTTTCTCTTTTTAGAATAGTGTTTTGCTGCTTTGAAAGTTTTTCTTTGCCTCTCAGTTAAGGGAGAGAGGCACTGATACCGTTAGATGGTATTAATGAGCTTGGATTTGGCAGTCAAATTGAGGAGCTCAGTGCTTTGTTTTCTTATTGTTTGCAAGAAATATGGATGTGGTGTGAATCATATTGAGAAAAGTGGCTGAAGAACTTCAGTTTGAAAGCGCTTTCATCAGTGCATCTATTAAAACGTTGCTTTGTATTCCTAGTACTGATATATTGAAAGTAATAATGCTGCTATAATTTATTTTAAATGCAAACCTAATAGCACTTTGGAAAAATGTAAGGGCTAATAAAGTACTCTTTGTGTAACAATGCATTTTTTTTACGTAATTCTTGTTTTAAATGCCTACAACTTTTTTTTTTGGCTTATATTAGTCATTGAGCAACTCTGTTTTTTAAAGAAGCTTGAAAAGGTGGTGCTATATTGAGACTCTGATGTGTGTCTTTCTAATGCCTTGAAATATTTTAGGACTGGAACGGGCCATTTTTGTCTGTTGTTAGAATAACTTCTTATTTAAACCAAGCTTTAGAATAGCACTCTATGTTCTATGTGCAAATCTTAAAACTTTAACTGATCATTAAAGATCACACTGTAAGATACTGCTTAAAACCAAGATGATGATGGTCTTGTTGACAGTGAATTTTAAAATCATGTTTTAGTTAAAGCTCTTATGCTCCTAAATGGCTTTATAATTAAATCTGCTTTTATGACTGATAGTTTAGGGACTGTACTGATTGAAACAGTGAGTTGTGAATTGAAGGGAAAACATGCTGTGGTGGGGATTGTTAATAAATGAAGTGGCTGTAATTTTTTTTTTTTTTTGTAGTGGTTACTTCAGATCTGATCAAGTTGTGTACAAGTTATTTATTGTGAGGAAGAGCCCTTCTGATTTCTTGAAAAAAAAATTCAAATGCATTATTGCTAGATATGCCTCTGCACACATCCTGTAGTTGAAGTACAGCTCTCTAAATGCTTGAGTGGACAAGCAAAGGCACTAAGACAATCTAAAATATTCCCATGATAAACTTTCCCACAATATTGTCGTGGATGTGTGTGGTGTTCCTTTGGGCTTCCTGGCAAAAGCAGTGTAGGATTGTGCACTAACATAAATCAGTAAACTTGTCTGAATCATTAGAATTGCTTGGAGTAAGCCAACTTAGGATGTGGCTTCTGTTGAAGCATCAGTTTGTAAGCAATATGTTTTTAGTAATGAAATGCTGACTAGCATTTGTGTCTCTAGAGAAGAAGAGGAACGTCTGAGAAATAAGATCCGAGCAGATCATGAAAAGGCTCTGGAAGAGGCTAAAGAGAAATTGAAGAAATCGCGGGATGAGATTCAAGCTGAGATTCAGACAGAAAAGAACAAAGTCGTGCAAGAATTGAAAAAGAAAGACAGCAAGCCACTGCCCCCTGTTCCTTTACCAAACCTGATAGGGATACACAGTGGAGAACCAGCAGACCCAGATATCCGAGAGAAGAGGAACAAAGTTAAAGAGGTAAAGATAAAGATGATGATGATGATGATGATGTGATCCTACCCATTCTTGTGTCTAGCAGCAGTTATTTATATGGCATTTAGTTGCTATGATATATGTTAAAAAAGAAAAACAGGTCTACAAATTGTTTAGTAGACAAAGTGCAAAAGTATTAATGAGCATCAGCGTTATTGCATTTTTCTTTTTCCTGGTGTTGGAGTGTTAATATCTCACTGGATAACAACTTAAAAAATAGTTTAAGGAATTTTTTCAGCTTTGTGGTATGGATTCAAAGTGAGTTTGTTATTAACACATGGAACAGTAACAAGAACATCTTTAAAGTAGAGCATGACTTTGTGCATTTCGTTTCAAAGAATGGGATGTGTTACTGTGTCACGGGATATTTTTAGATGTTGAAACATAATATCAAAAAGATAAGGGAAAAGAAGACCTGCTGCTAATACTTGAAAATCACCAAATTATCACATACTTATCAAAACATATTTTAAATGGGCCTAAGAAATTGAGTAAATTTAAGTGGATTGAGTATTTTACAGTAAATGAGGCAAACTAAGATCTTTGCTTAGGCTTTTGGTTTTGTGGCAACTTCTGCTATGGAAATTGCTGTTGGTGATCTTATCCTGTCCACTACTGGTTGGCTGTGAGATTCATTGCCCCTTTATGTCCTGGCAATGCCAGTTTCCTATTGCTATTGCCAGACGTTTCTCTGAGTTTGTACTTCTAACTGGTATGGCAGAAACCTTCTACAGCCTTATTGTTTTTTTTCTTTCCTGCACTTAGGTTAGTTTTATGTCAAAAAATCAGTTTAGCAAAGCAGGAATGGTTCAGGCTAGATGGAGACAAGCACAGACTGTTACTAAAGAATGTCCAGGATGATAGCACGTAGTGTTTACATCCAGTAAATCTAGTTTTAAATTGTAATCTGAGTTTAGTTACCTTATAAAATCAAACAGAAATCAGTCGTGCACCTGTCCTTGTCATAGGAAGGAGTTGTAGCTGAATTACGTGCCATTCTGTGGGTAGATCACCCAAGCTGGGATTTTACTTTGAATATGAATGATGTCTAGATGGAATCCACTCTTACCAAGTAATGGGTAACTGCTTATTATATACGAGTGATGCAGTGTGGAGCTGTATCACTATTTGTAGTAGTTACTCCATATAGAGCCCTGCACAATCTGAATATCTGAAGTGGCAAATCCTTCCCTGGAGATGAGCCTGATAGTGATTACTGCAGGAGTACTTTTGCCTAGGGAGTTGTGTCTGGAATATTGGGCCTCCTTGACCCTGCTTGGTTAGGGCTGCTTCCCAAAGGACAGCATTGAATTGTGAATTTGAAAAGGCTCTACTGATTTGTCTGCAAACATTTTGAGTGAGAATATACAGAGCATTTTGCTTTTCTAAATGTTTTTCTTGGGTGAATAGTGAACGGCACATTTGTCAACACTTCTTAATTTTTACTACAGATTACTGTAGCAAAATACCTTTGATATGGATTTAATGCATAGAATAAAATCGAGTTTACCAAGTGTCTTAGTTTAGGGCAAATTAGGAAGGAAAACTCCAAATGGGGATTTCCCCAGGGAAATGCCCCTCCCCACTAACTGGTCCGGGAAAAGAAAAAAAATTCCTTAGAGAGAAGTGGAAAAAGCTGTTTATTTAACAGAAATTGAGTAACATTAAATAATAAAACCTCTTGCTGTTCGATGGGATGGCAAGTCTAGGAAGAAAAGTCCTTTTCATGTGGTGTAGCTCGGCTCGCTCAGGTTCTTATCAGTCCCTCCGGCGCTGGAAAGTGCCGAGGCCCAGGCCCCGGTGGGCCACAGGCGTGAGCTCCCGGGGTTTGGCTGGGTGTTCAGTCCAGAGCAGGCTTGCACAGATCCAAGAAAATTGGGAAAAAAACAAACAAAGGTCCAGGGAACTCCTCTGCCTCAGCTAGCTAAAACTAACTAAAAGCCAGAGAGAAGCTCTGTCCCGCTGTCTGTCCGTGCTGCAGACACCACAGTCCAGGAGCGGGATGTGGGGGAGTGATGTTTTTCCTTAACACAAACTGCGCGCTTCTTCTTCCCCCTCTCTTGCTCTCAAAGCCAGTCTTAAAGGTGCAGAACTTAATATATAACATAAACCAGACGATTGGGGATACCAGTATCATAAAGTCACCCCAGGACACCAAGTAATGCAAAATTACTGAGCACAGCTAACAGTGAAGAGCTAGCTGGAAGAAATAATCAACCAAAGTTCTTATAGACCTAGAATTGGAGGGGGGCGGGGTGTAAATTAGTATTTGTATTTCTGAGGTTGTTTGGTCAGAATGTAGACTGAGATAAGCTCTAGGTTAGTATAGAATGGCAATTTTCTTGGTTTCATGAAAAAGTAGTAAAATTTGGACCATTCTTGCTGTTCTAAACCTGAAGGTATAGCAAATTACAAGGAATTCAGGGTAGTTTGTGAGTAACAATCACCAGGTGGTGATCCGTAGCTGCAGTTGCCACACACCTTGTGCTGTAAAACACTTACTCCTTTTTTTAATGATCAGCCTACGCGTGAGTCACACTGACAAGCTGTTTTTCTATTGCATAACTTGTTGATTACTACTATTATGGTTTCTGAAGTGTAGCTTTTCATTACTAGACCATAGGTTTTTATGCACTATGTTTTAAGTGGGTAAATCCTTCCCTTAGGATAATAATGCCTTTGTCTTGAGCAGTTTTCACTTGTGTGCGCACTTGTAACAGCCCAGGATCACGGGAACATGACTGAAAATTCTTTGTTACATGAATTGCCTTCATTGACTCAGTCATGTTAGTACTGTAGCAGCCAGGTGATCTCCAGAATTACTAATTTTTGTTTCATGCAGGGCAGGAGATAGTCACTTGTACAGCTAGATGTGTGAAGGCACAGAACACTTGGAGTAGGAGGTCTGCTAGGGAGAGTGGACAAATGGTAATGCTGAGGAACCATTGATGGAACAATGTGACTGAGACAAAGCATATATTAATAGTGTCAAATGAATAATATTTTGTCTGAAACCTGTTTTTGACAGCATCAGATGCCTCAGAGAAGTCTGCAGTGATTTAAGAGATATGAAGTGCATTGTGAAATACGTTCATCACCGAGTTCCTCCCTCACTATTTTATATAACTAGTGTAAACTAATACAAATAGTCTTTGTAGATAGAGACTTAGCAGAAAAAAAAAAAAAAAAAAAGTTGTTCCAGGAGACAATATCGCTAATGTAGGTCCACAACTGATATATATCTATATAATTTTTGACATGTAAGACATGATTGCCTGAAAAATAGCCCAGGGAAGCTACTGCTGATTCTTTGAAGGCTGCATATCTAACTTGAGAATTCCAGGTGGTCTCCAGAAAGCATTTGACCTGCTTTGGTTTACTGTGAATTGTCCTGATACATATTTGAGGAACTTCACTCTTAAAGAACAGCTTTAAACTGTTCAAATTCACAGAATAAATGTCTTAAGTGTAATAAATTATACAGCCTATTTCACCTCTTATCAAATGGTGAAAAACTATATAGAATTGGGTGGAATGGTGGGGGCTGTATCTAATGCACATGAGTCCTCAAATTCAGGGGAAAGGCTGGAAAATTTTCAAATGAGGATCCGCTTTCTATTATTTTTGCAGAAAATATATTACCAGATTTCCTTTCCAAATAGTAACTTGATGAAGGCTGTTTTTTTAACATCTCTGTATAAGAAGTGGTTTGGCAGTAGTTTAATATTTTAGAAAGGCATATTTTGATTTTAGAAAAAAATGCATATAAAAGTAGAAAAAAATTTGTGTAATGCTCTTAAGAGAGCTTTGGAAAACATTTGAAAGCTTTATGTAATAGGAATGTTTGCTGAGCACAGAGAGGGAGGGTTCTTAAGGTCATGAAATACAATTGGAAGCAGAATCTTCATCTTACTGGTTTTGTTTTTGTGTGTAATTTGGTTCTGATATTTGGTGTAACACTATTCTCAAGTTTAATTTGCAAAATTGTATAATCTGTCTATATTCTTCTAAGAAGCTATTAATTATTTCAATAAGGAGCATTTATGAGCTGGATGATTATTTAAGATGCATGGTGACAACTCTGCGAAGTAAAGGTTTTCCACTTGCTTACCATACATGTTTTATAGCACTTCTCTGGCGTATTATCTTGCTGTTCAGGCTATTAAAATATGCTGCGGTGTTTAATTAACTGGTACTTTAAGAACAAACACATTGAAAATTCTTCTCGCTGCTACACTTTTGCTTTGTATTCATATTTTGGATTTTTGTACTATGTAAAAGAAAAATATTGAAAATAGAAATTTATTTTTTTTAAGATCATAAGTGCAACTTGTATAATTTTACAGCAAGGCTTTAAGATGTATTTTTTCATTGTGGTTAATGCAGAGAAATTAAGAACAAATCCTGTCTTTTGCCTCCTTTCTTACAGCTAAGTTAAATTAGCTATAAATGGCTCGAACACTTGGAATTTGGGCACTTAATTTCCATTATTGTATTCTTTAAAGGCGTTCAGAGTATTTTTTTTTTCCTTTCAGTTTAAATGTAATCATTACATAGTGCTCTGTGGTCTACAGTGAGTTTTGTTTCCCTGGGAAGGTAACTTTTACCCAGTCAAATAAGGAAAATTTTATAATTCTTTTCACACTGTTCAGGGTTCATGTTTTCTCTAATTTCAACCTAAGATGTTACAGTATTATCTTACTGCCAGCACTCATTTAGGATACTTGTTAAAATAGTGTATTTCATCCAGTAATGGTCCTAATCCCATGCAGGTGATCCTTCTCTCTACTCAGCACTGGTGAGGCCACGCCTGGAGTCCTTTGTTCAGTGTTGGACTCCCCAGTGAGAAAGAGACACGAGCATATTGGAGAGGGTGCGCTGAGAGACCACAAAGATGCTTTGTGGACTAGAAGGAACGTCCCTCATCTGAGTGAAAGATGAGGCAGCTGGGCTGGACAAGGGAGGGAATCTTACAAAGTACCTGG